TCTGCCATAACCCTAAGAAACTACTAGGCTAGTTATTGCCACTATCCTGGATTTCATATAAACAGAATTATACCCAAAGTGGCCCCCAACAATAATAATAAAATAAAACAGGAAAAAACTCAGTCCAAAAGAAAGCAGAAAATAATAAAACATTAAAACTGGAACAGATTAATAATATGTCAAAAGGAAAATAAATAATGTAAAATTTCAACTTACCGGTAACTATGTCTACATTAATTCACTTTCTGATGCACTCTGTCTGAGGGCAAGGCTATTCTCATCCCTGGACAATGGTCCAAGGAAATTCATTGGCAGCTTAATCCCCGTGGGAATTCTGCAAATGGATTTTGGGCTTTCACGGTCCTTCATAGCCTTCTGTAAACCAGATGCTCAGGAGTTAAGCTCTAATACAATTCCTTCCTCTGATCTTCGATTATATTATTTACAGCCCTTGAATCACAAAGGCTGGTGTGCTTCTCCCATGTGAACTTAACTGACACCTCACTTAGATGACTGCTTGTTTTGAGACAAGCTTTAAGACCCCAGATGCTATTCTTTCAGTTCATCAGGCACTACCTGCTTTCTTTACCATCCTTTGCTATTACACTCATATCTTCCATGAGCCCATGATGATGATGAGGGTAATTAGTAAGCAGGACTGCATCATGAGAAGTAATTGTTCTTAGGTGAGGGTTTACAGTTAAGTGCAAGCTCAAAATCCATTTATATCTCTAAAGTTTATATATATCCATGTTCTACTTTAGTAGCAGCATTGTCAGCTTTTTGAGAGCTTATATAAGTAACCTCTATGGGGGCTTTTGGTAATTCTAATAATAGTCTCATTAAACTAGCCAATGGTGCAGGATTTAAAATATTATTAAGAGAAGGGGTTTATTCCTATATAGGAAAGCATTTTAGACTAAAATACATGGGAGATTCACTCATGCATATTAAAGAGCATAAGTGATCAAATCATGGTTAAGGAAACGTTAGGGCTAGCCACAAAGAAAGGTCCATGACACTCCTTCACTGTGGCAGAACTAGCTGCACTAACG